CACCCTCCGGGCCAGAGCGATAGCCACGGTAAGAGTGAGCACCGAGGACTGCAAATAACTTGTGATGTCTGTAAGATGTGGATGTTTAGGGCATACGTAGGTGCTTGTGCCCCTAACTGCATGATATGCATCTGCATATGCGTGCAAATAGAGTCTTAATCGATCGGCTATTACCGGGATCGTCATTCTGGCACACCAATGGCCAGTATTCTCTTAGGTCCGCACGTCTGACCTTTTTACCCCTTTTTACCCCTTTTGCCTTTCATCTTCACTTGGAAGCGCTTATAGGCAAACAACGCTTCTAAAATTCGGAATCTGTTTTGTCTTTGAAATACAATCAAACAAACACCAACAAACAGAGGATAACAAGAGCAACAACACGGAATTACCTGGGCAACCCTCTGAGATTAAATAAATAAATAAACAAACAAATAAAATCAGAAGACTTCAAGAAAGAAAATGCCAGGGTCTGCTCTTCAGCAGGGAGGGTGTGAATGCAGCAGCGGGCAGAAGGGAGAGTCAGCCTGTGTGTGAGGAGTTTTTCCTCTAATAAGAAGAGAGTAATCCCTTACTGTTGTATTACTATGTTATTTTGGGGAGTTACACATATTTTTATATTTTTGATTGACCAAACAAGAGCCCATATATTCCATTATCTCTCTCATTTCCCCACAGCCCCAGAGTTATTAAAATCATGTCTGAGAGCATCCTCACAGGAGGTTGCTCGTGTCCTTTCCCAAACCATGCTGTTCGTGAGACAGAGAAGAGGCAAGGCCCCGTGTGCTGCACCCGAAGGCCCTGGCAGGGGGCTGGAAGGCTCGGGAAGGAGTGGGGTACCCATGGGCTCCGCGCTCCCACCACCTCACAGATCCGCGGGACGCTCCGGAGGCCGATCCGCCTCGGACCGGGAGTTGCTTTCCTCGGCCTCTTTCCCAAGATCTCCCCTGGTGTGTGCGAGTCCGGCATCAAGTGAAGCCTTAATGCCCGGACTTTTCCACTTTCATTACCTCGGTTAAAAACTTGAACCTAGTTAGCATGTAGGGTTAATTTTCCCTGTTATTATCCTCTTAATCACAGTTTTAATCTTGGTTTTATTTCTAAGGCGAGATCAGAGACGCTGCCCTTCTTGACATTGTCCTAATCAAATTCATCTTTCTGTTTAATGGGAAATTGAGGGAAATTCTGCAGTAATTTCATTGCCCTGGAAAAAAAAATCTTTAAATGATTGCTCTCTCCTAGACCACACAGGACCACACAAGCACCGCTGGAGGATATTGCTGACCATTGCCTTTAATTTTTATTGTTTGAATTATGTCTACCAATTGAATCTCCCTCTTATTAGCTGACTTGTATTCTAACTTTGTGTTCCCTAAGAAGATGGGCAATATTTTTTTTTTTCATAATTGTCTTTTACGAAACAGCTGATTTTCGGTTCTTGGAAGAGAAAAGGAACATTCAGTTCAAAGGCTGTATTTTTGTCCGCAATAAACACAAGGAATGGATGTGAGTTCCCAGTTACCGGAAAGAAAGGTGACACTTCAAACTAACTTTTATGAGGTTAGAGAACACAGAGCTTTCAATTAATATTCAACTCATTTGTAATTGCTAATTCATTTTAAAAACTAAAAATAAAGCAAGAAAATAAAAAAGAGCATAATAAAAACTTGAAATAGCTGGAGACACAGTTACGGAAAATGTTTAAATCCACATGGAAAAACATTTACAGAAACATCGTGTTCCAGAGGCGGCTGGCCTCGGAGCCGAGGCGAGCGGGGTGGAGTGGAAGGAGAGCCTCGTACGGGCTTGTGCTGCTTTTTCCAGCCACAGCCAGCTGCTGCTTTGGGGGCGGCGTGTTAATGCCTCGGGTGTCCCCCCGCCTGTGTCTGTACAGGAAATATCACCACTGAGAAACAGGGCGACCCGGAGGCCTGCTTTCACACGCTCCTTTCCTCTTTTCCGCTTTTTTTTTTTTTTTTTTTCCCCTTCCCTTTTTTTTAAACAGGCGTCCGGATAGGCCTGGACATCAGAGCTGACCACAGGCTGTAATTGCACTGGCACAGTCTCGCAGTTTGCCGCCGAAGGGCGCTCTGCGTGTGCCCGGGCAGCCTGCCTTGCCCGCCGGTCGCTGGGCGGCGCGGCGCCGCAGCAGAGGCCGCCCTGCCTATGCCCGGGGCCGTCCAGGAGATGGCAGGATTGCCTCAGACATGGCCGGGAAAGAGCGCTGCCCGACAGGCGCCCGGCGACGCGCCGCCGCGCACCGCGCATTTGCGATTCGCTTTGTCGCGGTACATGTTAATTGTCTGCAATAACGTGCGCTACATTTCAGACGAGCCATCCTACCCTTTTCTCTAAACATGGGCCCGTGCGGCCGCCTGCAGCTGGGGCTGTGCGGCTGCAGCCCGGCCCGGGGCCACGTGCTGCTGATGTGCTGAAGAGCCCAAGCTGAGGCCAAGGAGGGCTTGAACAAGGCTCACCGATGCCCCAGCTCCAGGCATTGGAGCTCAGCCGGTGGGCAGGGGGGTAGATGTGCGTCTCATCTCCCTCCTGCCTGTAGCTGTTGGCTTCTTGATGATTCTGCACGTTCTTAGAAAACTATAAGGCAACTCCTCTCCATCTGGTACCGATTTGCCAGACAGTTCGGGTTTCCTTCTGCCCGAGGAAGGCGGCTTTGGCTCGGCAAACTGCGCCTTCTGAAGGCACGGAGCCCGGCAAAGCCAAAGGTTAAACCTGGAAGGAGGGAGAGAACGGCCCGCGATGGCTCCGCGGCCAGGAAATAAAACAGCTCTGGCAGTGCCCGGCCGGCCGTCTGCAGGGAGACCCGGTGGGAGGAAAAACCTCTGTAGAATTAATGGCAGTATGTGTGGGTGAGTGGGGGTGCCAAGGGGGAGAAGACAAGAATTTAAAACATTCGGAGAAAAGAAGGTTGCATCAGCAGAGAGGGCTGTTCCAGGCACGTAAATGATGAGCAGCACGAGTGTCCTTTTATACTAGAATTAAACAAAAATGCGCTTTGCGATAAAATCTGAACTGCTCAGAAATGGACTTTTTTCGTCCTTGCAGGGAAAACAAACGCCATGAACGTGCGAGCAGAGTAGAAAGGGGAGGGGAGACGGAGGAGGAGGCGGAAGGTAACCTCCCGATGGAGCCAGCCGGCTGCGGAGAAAACGGAGTGGCATCGCTCCGGGCCGGCCGCCGGGGAAGCGGCAAGTGCCGGGACGATTTGGAAATGGAGAACAAAGGGCGGCGGGCCGCCCTCGGCCGCCAGGCACAGGAGCAGGACTCGGAGGGAGAGGGGAGACACAGCCTTTCGTCTGCTTCCCACGCCCTGTATTTCTCGCCGGCAACATTTCTTTCTCATTAAAACCCTTTTCTGTCGACAAGGCACTCTCCGATGCTTTCCCCCATCCTTTAATACGCGTCTCATTCTATCTACCTCTCATTTGCCAGGAACGGCGTCCTGCGTCCCTGAGAGGATCCCAGGCAAATGAAACCCCCTGCAGCAAAAGAAGGCGAATTTCTTTCTTTTTATATACAGCGAAAAGAAATAGTTTTATTAAAGATTCAGGAAAAGATTTGCAATATCGTTAACAGCTTGGAAATTCAGATTGCATTTCCAACACAAAGTAAAAGCTGACTTCAAGACACATTTTCAAAAAATAGTTTACGGAGAAATAGGCTTATCGTGTCTTACCACATACAAGGGTAATCAAAATATTTAGAGCAATAGTATATTATAATAAATTACACTAGTTTGGAACACATTTTAATAATTAGAAGAGGCACATTAACAGAGAGGTTACCGCTTCTCTCTCCTAGTTGTTGATTAGCGTGTCTGATCACCCTGTGTATATCATATCATGCACACTAGATTTGAAAGAATTTTTAAAATCGACAAAATCTTAGGCTTTCGGCCCATATAAATTATGGCATCTTTTGAATTTCCTTATTTATTGCTTCTGTCATTAACACCCGTTTAGTTTTGTAAATTAAAACCTAGCAGTGACCTTCGCTTGTCCATCAGGAAGTTTTTCGGCGTGAGGAAGTAGAAGAGTCTTGGGCTGGTGCAGAGGCAGAGCGGGCAATTCCCGGCAGGTCCGTGCACGCCTCTGTAGCGCAGCGTGTCCCCTGGCCGCAGGGCGGGCCGGCCAACCCGCCTGCCGAAGCGCTGCCCCAGGCGCCGCGACTGCGCCTCCGCGGAGCGCTCAGCCGCGCAGCCTGGCACACGGGGTCTTCCCTTTTTCAGCCGGGGCTCCTTTTCCAGCCGGGCAGCGTGCGCTCCTTGCACTGAAAATGAAACTGCGGCGGATAAAACCCGCAAACCCAAGCTCAGCCTCAAACCTGCAGAACGGGGAGCGCGGTGTGACATGCCTGCGATTCTATGCCCCGCAACAGCTCGGAGAGGTTCTCTCTTCCTCGTCCAAGTAATTTAAATTTCTGCTGCAGCCAGTAACCCTCCACGCAATTCTCTCCGGGTCCCAGTGGACCGGACAAGTTTGGCAGAAGCCGGGCGCTGCCACGGGTCTGTATTCCGGATTTCGTGTATTTCCGACTGATTTATTTTTTTCACTCGGCGTGTTTTGAAGTTTACGATACCAAATCAAAACTGACACTGTCTGGCACTGTCTGTTGCTCAAAGGAAAAAAAAAATAATCACAGAATACCCCCCAAAGACTTAAGCATTATAAAAATTATAACTTTTACCGTTCAACATATTTAAATTCGTTTATACTGGCCTAGAGGGAAGAACAGAAAATATAATTAATATTAATATTATAATTATTTTCAAAAAGAAGAAACTATAATTCAATTCAAGACTTGTCAACACTCCCTTACACTGAGAGAAAAACGCTGACTTTCACGGAAAACAATTCCCGAAATTTCGCCACCGCTGGAAGGACAAAAAAAAAAAAAAAAATTAAATATATTTTCAAGTCTTTTCAAAAGTCTTTAGCTGGTGGTAGATTGAGTTTATATTTTCATCACTGTCCGCAATGAATGTATCAGGATACATTGTCTTTCAGTTTGGAGACTATTTTCTTATCCTTCACCCTCCTGTTCTGAAACCAAATGGTAACTTGTCTCTCAGACAGGTTTGTGGCTGCGGATATCCTTCGCCTCTTGTCCTTGTTAATGAACTTGTTAATGGCATATTCATTCTCGAGTTCTTTAAGCTGCAGTTTTGTATACGGCACTCGCTTCTTTCTCCCACGCCGGTAGACACACATATCGGGCTGGTTTAGTGCAACGTCCCCTATTGTAAAAGACATTATGTGAAAAATCAGAATTTTATTACAGGCTTTTAAAGCTTAACCGATACTTGTTGGGCACTGGTTTTCATGGGCAAATAAATAATGCCGGGTTGTTTACAGTTTATTATTATTTACACTGCCACATTATTTGCACTCTAGTAAAGCACCACCAAAACTTTGATGGACTGTCATCACTTTTCAGGCATGCATCGCTAACCGAGCATGCAGGGGGGCTGAGAGTGGGTCGGTGCTGGCAGCGCACACACAGAAATCGCTTTGGTGAGAGTTTCCCGGGTTTGTTTGCATGTGGTTTGTGCCTCTGTGCCCTCACTGCTCGCGGTCTCTTAAGTGCTCTCGGGGCCGCCGGATCAGTCGCCAGCCGGAGAGGCAGAGGAGAGCAAACCTTCGAGCCACCGTCCCGCAAACTTCAAACGCGCCTATGAACCCGGCCACCGAGGGAAGCAGCGGGACAAGGAGCCCGAGGCCGCCCCGGCGCTCGCGGGCCGGGGCCGGGTGCCCTGGCGCTGGTGGCGGGGAGGTTCTGGGGTCAGTCCCGCGGGTATGGAAAGCAGAGGGTGAGGATTTTCTCGGGGGTAGACGGCCGAGGGGGGAGTGAGGAAAAGAGAATATCCACCGCCCCCACCCTGCTGTATGCGTGTCTGTGCAGCGTGTCCAGCTCGGCAGGCCGCCCCTGCAGCCCGGGGGCGGGGGAGGGGACGGGAAGGCGGAGGAGGCGCGGGGGTGTTCTGCTCAGACCATTTCTCCCCCTCTCGTACCTGGAAAGGACGATTTCCAGAAGTGTGAGCTCTGTGTCTGATCTTTGGCACAGTAAACCTGACTATTCCAGCCATTAGCCAGAGTCCAAGACTGATAGCCCTCCATTGATATGTATGTTTCGTGTCTCGGTTCCCCAGAGCCAAACGTTGAGACCATGTCTATGTACCCAGGAACGTGCTGGTAGGGGGTTGTATAGCCCTGGTAGAAGGACACTTCCTTTGCCCTGGAGGAGACTTCATTGGCGGGGACACTCGTGCTGGTCAAGCTGGAGACGTCCATGTACTTTTCCACGGGAAAGCCGCCAATGGAGGCATGGGGGGGAGACTTCAGGGCGTTTTGCTGTATCCCAACCCCGTGGGACATCCTGCAGCTATAGTATCCATTGCCAAAGTGATACCCATAGCCCAGCGCGGGGGCGGCGGCCGGCGTGGTGGAGCCCGGGCAGTCCTTGGTCGGGGGGTCGGGCCTCGCCGCCGCCCCCGAGCGCTCCCCTCCGCCGGCGTAGGCAAAACCCGAGGCGGCGGCGGCAGCGGCGGCGGCGGCGGCCGCTCGGCCCGTGTGCGCCGCCCCGAAAACGGGCGAGGAGAGAAAATTACGGCACTGCCCGGGGGCTCCGCCGCCGCCGCCGCCGCCGCCGCCGCCGCTGCTGTCGCCGCGCAGTCCGTCCATCTCCCAGCTCGCTGCTTTGCTCATGGCCTTGCACATCGCGGGCGGCGGCGGCGGCGGCTCGGTCCCCGGCCGGGCATGATGCGGATGGTTATTTGCCTCCAACAGGTTGGATCCTGGCGGTACGTTTATAAAAACGAAGTCCAGGTTGGGAGGGGGGACCGGGGCGGGGGCGGCCGGCCCCAGATTAGTTTGCCTCAGCCCGGGGGGCTGCTCATAGGCTGCCGCCGGAACATGTGACCCTCCCGCTGCCCGCACTGCCCCTTTCGCCTCGCAGCCCCCGGTCGGCACCGGCGGCGCTCCCACCCTCTACTCCCACCCCCGCCCCGCCGCCGCGCTCCCGCCCCGCCACGGCCCCGGCGCTGGAGCGGGGGGAGATTGGGCGGGCGAGCGGCGGTGATGCCCCTCCGGACCAACCTAGGCCCCCGTTGCTTCATCTCCCCCTTCCTCCTGCCCGCGGCTTCAAAAAGGCCAGCCGAGTACCACTGGACATCTTGAGGCCGCCGGCAGGGGCCCTTTCCCCAGCCATGGACAGGGGTCTCACCGGATCCGCAGCGAGACCTTCTCCGATTCATTGTTGCCTCTGCAAAAGGGGGAAAATCCCAGCATAGTTTTTGTATTCCATCCTCCCCACCTCCCTTCTTTCCGGCGATATATGGAGTAGTTGGGCTTTGTCCTATGGGAAAAGGGGTCCCTTGGCTTCACTGAACTGTCGGTCCTTGGGAGAACCCTCCTTTTACCCACCCGCACTAACCCCCCCCCCCCCCAATATTGCTACCGGCTAGGAAAATGCACGGGGTCTGTGCGCAGCGCAAGATGGTAAACCTGGTGCTCATTAGATGTGGCTTTTTTCCCCGTGCAGTGTCAGCTCATGTCGTGGTAAGGCAGCCTAGTTAAAACGCAGAGTTTGCTTACACTGACGGCTGTTCTCGTGGTGACTTCCCAAGACGGTGGCAAATCCTTCTGTCGTCTCTCTAGACTCCCACACTGAGTCGGGATGGAAATGCAGGAGCGCGAAGTACTGGAAATGGAGAAAGCTCCGAAGATGACTCCCAACTCTAGCTCCAGTCCCAGCCACAACCTCAACCACTCAACCACAACCCCAATCCCTACCCCTCTGGACCGAGTCCAGTCGCTCCGCAGTTTTGTATTGCACACTTCGCTCTCTCTTGGGCGCAGAGGGCAAGAAGTTGCTGGGGAAAGTGTCAGGTTCGTGGGGAAGGACAGGGGAACACCGCGCCGCTGAAAACGATATAGCTGTGGCTGTGTTTACTGACCCTACGGAGGCTCGGGCGCATGAGAGAGGAGAGGCAGCCGCCACGGAGGTGAAACTCTGTACCGACACCATTGCGGGGCTCTGGGGGTGTCCTCGCTGAGCAGCCCGGGCAGGTGCTGGCAGGGCTCCCCGGGCGCTGGGCTGTCGCGGGATAGCTGCAGGTCCCGCAGCAGCCGCCCGTCACTCAGCCCTACTTGCAGCCGGTCTAATAATCGCCGGCGGTATGTGGAAGAGGGGTTTGGAATGACAAACGGGTGCCCATAATTACGGCACCAACCGAATGTCATAGACGAGTTCATGTTCATTAGCTCTGACCGCTTAATTGTTATTAATCTTTCATAATCAGCTAAGGAGTGAACCACGCGTGGTTACGTTTCTCTCAGTTATAAGCCGAATCAGTATTTACTCTCAGGACATTAAACCCTCCGTAATTAGAAGGAAGTTTAGTCGAAGAACAATTTTCTCACCCTTTTATGTCGCTGCAAGCGACTTTCTACCGAAAACGTTGCTATAAAAAAGAAGTCCAGAGAAACGAAGGACTTTATTTCTCCGGACATCTTTCTATGTGTATTCCCACGTCCTGTTGTGTTTCCTCTTTCAATAAATGCAGTAAAAATTTCTCTCACGTCAGGACCTTTAAATAAGGCCGCGAAAGAAAGGAACACCTAAAGAGCAGGGTTTTGGAGCTTTTTGAGGTCGATTGCATCAAAGGAAACCACGGTGCAGCCGCAGCGACTCCCGTAGAGGTCTTCAGCCCTGCCGAGACCTCAGCTCCAGCGAGAGCCCCTCGGTGTACGGAAAAACACTTTGGGCGGGTTCATGACCAATAACTTCAATTCTGTAATGAGCTGCTTTGTGAAGGGTGTAGAAAACAGCATTGCCTTGCATGGCAGGATATTATACACAGGAATAAATGATCTCATGAGCAAAGGTCGGTTCTCTGAGAGCACCCACCCAGTTTACAAGTAGCAGGATGTGTCCCGCACCCCCGGTCCGGGGGGCCGTGCGGAGGCCCCGAGCAGCCCGGCGCTTCTTTTGCCCAGGCAGAGCAGTGCCCATCGAGGCTCAGCGCCTGTCGGGCAGGGCAGGAGGTCCTGTCCTCTCTGGGCAGCGCTTCCGCGGGTGGCCAGCGCCCTGAGGAGCCGCGTCGCATTTTCCATTGACACATTGCATGGGAATCTGCAGAATACATGAGCTAGAGAGCAACGCTGCAGGCGTGCTTGTGCCTCCCCAGAAGAAAAGGTTGTGGATTTTTTTTTTTTAATTTTTACAATCCTGAAATAATCTCATTTAGTCAAGTGCATTTACCACTATTTAATACAGTTAGGATTCCACTCAAACTTTTAGCACAGGCTTTTAGTATCTGCCTAGTATCCATCTCTTACAGAAACCCCCCCGATTTTTATGTCCTCCCTCGTCAGAATTTGCCCATGGTAATTGTCTCGATAGGAAGTTGCTTCTTATATTAGCGTTTGGTGTAAGAAAAAAATTATTGTCCGGGACAAACAGAGAACGCAAACAAAACCACTCGATTTATATGTCTTCCAAACCTTATCCCGTTTCCACTGCGTTCCGTGGTTACCTTTTAATTTGTATGAACTTTTAATACCTAAACAGAACAGAAGAACTTTCATTTTTCCCCATGCTTTTAAAAGAATAGTCAGTTATGATAACGAATAGATTGAACAGCAACACGTGGAGAATTGTTAAACTATTTCCCCCTCCAGATCTATGCCACAGCTTCTCACTTCTTTAGTTACTTCAACTTTAAATAATGCGTTTCGAGACGGAGAAAGTTTTCTCGGGGCTCCCCGCGTGGTCTCGGTGCAGCGGCCACGGGCGGCTGAGCACTGCGGGCGTTGAACTTGAGCTCTCGGGTCACGGGCTGGTGCTGGCCGCTCTCTGACTGCCCTGCCGCTCTGAGGCAGCGCGGGGACCTCGGGACCCTGACCTTGGACCAGCTCGGCAGCCTGCCTCAGTTGCAACCTAAACTGAGCCATGGGCCGAGTCCCTTTGCGATCGGACGTGGGCTCTATGGTTTGAGCGAAACCCCGTGTGTGCTCAGGGCAGCCTCAGAAGACGCGGTGTAACTGCGGAACCCCAGCGTGCCGGGGGGGGGTCTGCCTGCCTGCGCAGCGCGGGGCGGGACGGTGCGCAGGGCCCGTGGGACTCGGGGACACGCCGTGCTCGTGTCCTTCACTCGCGAGCGATATTCCACAGACAGTATAGACTGAACACGCCCCAAAACTGGCCCTGTGCTGATATGGCGGCCTGAGGCGGAGGGGAGAGTCGGGGCTGAGCCGGAGCGTATCGCGTCCTCAGACACGCAGGACAGCCACTGCGCGGGCGCGGATCTGCCCTGCCAGGCGGCCTCCGGCTGGTGGGAGGGGGCAGGCAAGGCCAGCGAGCAGGGCTGGACGGCAGGGTGGCAGCACCTGCGGGCAGCACCGGCGAACAGGGAGGGCAGGGCCCGCGGTGAGATCAGGTAGGGCCGGCGGGCAGGGCCGGCGGGTACGACAGGCAGGGCTGGCACAGCAGGGCAGGGCGGGGCAGGGCATGGCTGGCAGAGCAGGGCAGGGCATGGCGAGCAGGGCAGGGCATGGCGAGCAGGGCAGGGCAGGGCAGGGCTTGTAGATCAGGGCAGGGCAGACAGGACAGGCTGGGCTGGGCTGGCACGGCACGGCAGGGCGGGCAGTGCCGCCAAAGCGCCGCCAGGTGGCGCCGCCGCGCCTGCCGCCGGCGCCGCCGCGGGCGGAGCGCGCCCCGCGCCGCGGAGCCCTCGGAGCGGGAGCGGCTCCCGCGGCCCCGCACTTCCCACGGCCCCGCACTTCCCACGGCCCCGCACTTCCCACGGCCCCGCACTTCCCACGACCCCGCACTTCCCACGACCGCCGCAGCCACGACCGCCGCACCGCCGCCTGCTCCCGCCCCACGGGCTGCGGCCCGGAGACTCTGCGCTACTGCGGCTGTCTCATGCGCGCTGCCCTGGGACCTTGCTGGCAGCCTGCCCCGCTGCGGGATAGGAAGCAGATATTCCCGCTCGTCTTCCCAGGAACGCTCTGAGTGGTGAAAAGCTGCCCGAGATGTTTGTCTCATTTAATATGAACTTTGTTTCAATTAAACTATGCGACCTCTTCTTCCCGGGTAAGATATAATAAATGAGTACTGAAATATTCTTTTATGCCTCCAGCAATAACTTTAAAGGTAAAAATCTGGCCAAAGGCCTAAATAGCTGTTTAAACTTACAAGAACAACTGAGTAAACAGAGTCTAACAAAAGCTCACATATTTCGGCAGTTTCTCGTCGGTCTCTGTAACTTCCTCCCTCTTTCCCCACTAATGTCTTCAATAATCTGTGTTTTTTCAGGCTTAGCTATTGGTTTTGAACAACTACAAACATTCGGAAAGATTTTGTAGGCTGTGCTATTCTTTTTGGGGAAAAAAAACAAACCCAGTCAAACAAAGTACC